TAAATATAGTTTTCTCATTAATTTTAAAATTTAAGAATAATTTTTTAACAAGCACCCGTGTAATACACGGGTGTTGTACTAGTATATATAATTGTTGAAAAGCTTCATTTTAATTTTATTCAGTCTTCAATTAATAATAATATTAGTTCGTTTAATAGAAATATGTGACATTTAATAATAGTATGTAACTTTCAGTTACATAATTTATTTTGACGTATCCTATTTTAGATGGTTTCTATTTCTGTAACGCTTTTTATATCATGAAATACAAAATCGCAGACGTCCGCAAACGTTTCACAGACCCGCTGCGTCCCACAATGACCGCGTGCTCGCGCCCTTGCGCCCGAAGACACTGTAGCCCCCGTGCGCCTTGCATCTCAGCGCCCGCACATCCCAGCAGGCCTTGTAACAAATATCATAATCTATATATATAATTACTGGCATGTAGCATTTAATAAAACATTTAATAAAACCTCTAAAATTTTCCCTTCATTTTCGGTTACAAAATTTGTTTTTAATATTTTTTACTTCTGACATTATTACATCTTAATGAGTGTAATCATGTATAGTCTTATTATATTATATAATAATTATTGCTAATACCAACTAATAATAATTCACAATAAATATAAATTACATAATTATAAACAATTGTTTTCAAGTTATGTATTTTAACATCAATATTATCTTTTTCTTTTGTATCTCATAAAAAAATTTCTTTAAACACAATTAGTAAATTATTTTAATAGCATAGTTAAACAACTTTAGAATCTTATAAATAATTTTTTTAGTAATATATATGTATAGAATTGCTAGCTTAGCATTTAATTTTACCTGTTGAATAACACCTCTAAAATTTTTCCTCTATTTTTCAGTTACAAAATTTATCATTAATATTTTTTTACTTCTCACATTAACACATCCTATCAAGTGTAATTATGTATTTTTCTATTATATTATATAATAATTATTGCTAATACCAACTAATAATAATTTACAATAAATATAAATTACATAATTATAAACAATTGTTTTATGTTATTTATATTAACATCAACATTTTCTTTTTCTTTTGTATCTCATGAAAGAATTTCTTTAAAAACAATTATTAAATTATTTTAATAACATAGTCAAACAATTTTAGAAGCTTATAAACAATTATTTTTTAATAATAACAATATTAATAATGATAATCAAACTGTTATTGTCTAATGATAATGAACAATTTTTCATAACAATAAAATCGTTAATTTATTTTTCCTAATAATCAATTTTTTGAGAATTTTAATATTAAATTCTCAAATATTACTTACTAATATTTTATGTAAATCTGTGCATATGCACAAGATATCTACTAGTAAAATTTTAATAACTGACTTTCAATTTTCATTTTGTCATAGATATTCAAATAATATTTTCTAAGAAAACCTATTTGAGAGATAGTTGCTAGTATCAGTTATTTCGTGTTTTTTTTTTTTTTTTTTAATTCAAATTTAAAATGCACTTATTACTGATTCATTTTTTCTCGTCTTGCAGCCCGCTAGGGTACCAACTACCAACGGTATAATACGTTGAAGCTCTCAAAGTCAATGTCACGTTTGAAGAAGCATAGATATGGTTCTATAGTAGTGATTTTCGTACTCCACAATTGGACATTCCAATTTCAAAACCTACAAAAGAAGATGATTTTTCACAAAATGTACTAGGATAACTAACTCCATGCACATTGTCGTGTAAATTCACTATTGGCGCAACTTCGGATGATATTAACTTCATGATAAATGACCGGTAATGGCTTTAAATAGGCATGAGACTAGGGCAGTGAAAGTTTTCCGGGCATGCGATTTCATGCTCGAACGTAGCTTGATCCTTTGATATATCCCAATGGTCTCCAGTTTCTTGACCAAATTAAGTGTCACATTTTGTCTCCAATGTAGCTGTGTAGACCGTCCGAGTGAAGCCTCTGCGGCTCTGCCTACTACAACAAATTCCTTGTCGACCAAAGCATTTGTTTTGGCCTCCCATTCTGTGTTTTTTTATTTCTCTGAAGGAACACATGCTGCTAAACACAAATGTTGAATATCTGCTTCACAAATTACATACTCAAGTTGAATAGATTCAAATAATAAGAGTAATATTGAAGACCTCGAATGCTAATCTGTGATGTCCACATCGACTCAGCTTCTTGCACACTCACTTATGCTCATCACACACTAATAGAAAAGAGAACGTTTTCATAAAATTCGGCGAATTACCAAGAATCTGTATCTAATACACAGACACTAAAACATGGAGGCATAAATTAACAATGTACAAATCTCGAAAAAGTATCACCTCTAAAAAAAAAAANNNNAAAAAAAGAAAGCTGTGATTTTTTACTACATACAAGTACACTCGATCGTGAGAATCGAAAGAGCAGCAGCGCCAAGGGAACATAAAGTTCTCCCTGCTCATCAATCTAGAACTTGATATTCCATGCAGCTGACACGATGAGCCACTACTAAATTAGGAAATGACCAAAAAGCACAATAAGGAAAAAAAAAATTATATTATCATATTTCTATAACCTCACCATGGTGTATCTTTACCAACAAAAACTTGAGTCCAGGGAAATATTTTTATATACGAATCAAAAGTTCACTGCAACAATAGCTCCTCTTCCATCTGGAGTTCCTTGAGTCTTTTTTTTGCATATAGAGTTATGATCACTGTTGAGACTACAGTAATGCAAAAGCCAGCAACATTGAAAACGATCTGAAGACCTGATAGGGAGTGCTGGTCATGTGAAGCATCGGCTAAAGTCCTAATCAGGATACCACTACAATTAAACAACACATAATTAGTCAAGAAAATTTCGGCTCTCATGCCCAAACAATAAGAAGAAAAAAAAGGAAAGAAGAAAAATAGAATTAATCAATATTAAACAATAAGAATATCAAAGCATGATAATCAGATATAGAAAAGCTAACACTAAAGTTAACAATCGAGAAACAGGAATTCCTGCCAGCTGATAATTTACTTACACACATACACTGCTAGATAAGTGATACACAAGAAAAAAATAACAATAGAAAATATGCAATAAGAAAGTGTGTACATGTGTGCTGTACATAGATAATCTAACAAAAGTCTATACCATCACACCAAATTAACACCGTAGAGTAAGAAACCTAAAATAGGGGAATTCGTTTAAGCATCTAACAGGTCGTGATACGAGGATAGATAGTATATTCACAACACGAAAACAAGTATAATTTTAAAAAACAAGCAACTTCATTTTCTTTGCTATCAAATTTTTAAAAACAAGCAACTTCATTGTCTTTGCTATCAAACTTCAAAGCACACAGTGATGCAAGAAAATCGCATATTTAAGTGCCCCAAAGACCACAGTATAAAAAGCTATATTACTGAATCCAGCAATTGCACTCCTAGTGAATATAATTCATACAAAACAGAATCAAAAGGATCCTTGCGAACACTAACCAATAAATATCATCTAATTATTAACAAAAAAAAAAGAAAAAAATCAGATATGAGTTGAAGAAACCTATCTATATGTACAAAGTAGCAGGGCTACTGATTTGATAATAAACAATGAGGTCGAATAGAAAGCAACATTTGACAATTTATTACTCGCTAGATCGTCACAAATTTACATATACAAATATACTCACATGACACATAGAGAGTGGAGGGGAAGAGAGTGGACTCACGTGTAAAGTGCCACAAAAATTTCTGGGATCATTCCCACAATTGTCCCCAACAAATAAGGACCATACTTCACATCAGTAGCCATGGCACAGTAGTTATACACAACATAAGGAAAAGGAGAAATCCTAATCAAAGTAACAGCACGGAACTGATTGAACCAACTTCCCTCACCAGCCAATCTTATAATAGAAGCTTTCTTTGGGTACCTTTCCAGCCATGCCTGCAGTAAGAAATATAGAGAGTCGGCTAGTTATTAACTAAAGATACAAAAAAACGAAACAGAAAACCACATCACGGAA